GATTCTATGATTCTATGATTCTATGATTGCTGCAGAGTGAAGGTGCCTCCTTTCCATATGTTTTCCTTGTTAAAGGTGTTTTCTTATACTCTTCTTGTGCTTGTTTTGTTTTGCATGGGTCAGTTCTTTAAGTGGATGTAATGATCAGTAGTAAATATATTTGTGGCTAGGGTAATGATGATATGTTTATCACTTAGTCGTATACTGCACTCTTCTGAAACCATCCAGTGCAGTTCTACATCAAAATGTCCTCAGACGATCAGATCAGTGGTACATCTAGTCAATGGGTTGTTGACTTTGTGGTCATGGGCTCCTGGGGGATTCACAAATCAGGTAATAGGTTCACAACCCCTATGCCTTTCTCACAATGTTACATGGGTGATGCCAGCTATATGGGAGGGAGTTCTCAGGGGGTCCCAGTATGGAAAAGGCCAAGAAGTGCTCATCTAGTCCAGCATCCTGTTCAGGGAAACAGCTAGCACCAGAGGAAACTGCAAGAATCTCTGTTGCTGGCAGCTGCGGAATAGCTGTTTACAGGGAAAGTTTCTTTCAAACCCTTAATAAGGAGAATCTGGTTTATGTCTTGCCGCGTGTGAGTTCTGTTGTGACTCTGTGAAAAATGGAACCTATTTACTCAGCAGATTAACTCCATTTGGGCCATATCCAGAGTTCTTTACTTAGATTTACTCAGTCTTTGCTCAGGCAAACTGCCATCAGTATCAACGTATGCAGTGTAGTTGTACCTCACTCACCCCATCAGCGTCAATGGGAGTTTGACTACGTAATAACTGAGCACACAGGTTTGACCCTTTGTATGTTCAGAGCCTCGTCTGCGTACTTTAGGTCTTGTTTACACACAGTTTTTGTCTCTCTCTAATGATATCAGTTTAGAAACCGATATTGTTAAAGCAGAGCAACCCCATAGTGTGGATGCATTTAAAGTAGTCAAGAGCTGTGAGTAGACCAGCCCTTAGACACTGCTTGTACTACCTCCTTCTTCTCTTAGCCCTGCAAAGACAAAACAACTAAAGGAGAGCAAGCTGGGGTCTATTCTGGCATGTCATCAAGAGAAGCAATATAATAAAATTCCAGGATTGTTATTCTGAAGCCTAGAACGTCAGAGTCAGTGTGAAGTGATGGATACAGCTACAAACATGGTTGAGAGCTCTTTTTTGTTTAGACTGTCACCAGGTTGAATCGTCACTGGAATTCACAGTCTGTTACCGCCCAATTTTTAAGTGTTCAGCCATTTTGACTTTACAAACTCCACCCCTGGGATGTACAGCTACAATAAGGCATATATCTATGCATTGCCTGGAGTCCTAGACCACTGTGATATCAGAGATAACTCAACCAATCACTGCCAGCTTTACTTAGGGTTGCCAACCCTCCAGGATTTTCCTGGTGTCTCCAGGAATGAAAGATTAATCTTTAATTAAAGATGGTGTCATCCGATGAAACCTCCAGGAATACCTCCAACCAAAGTTGGCAAGCCTATTTACAGCTAATTTGCATGCCACAATTTCATTGGCTGTATGAAGGAGACTGCACAGATGGTGGATTGCTTGGCCCAACTGCCACACTCAGCTGCTACTACCTGTTGACTAAATTCCAGGGGCAGGGCCAAAGTCTTCTCCTAGTTACCATTTGTGGAGACTCCTGTGGAACCCCATTCATAACAACAAACTCCCATTGACGCTGATGGGGTGAGTGAGGTACAACTACACTGCATAATTGATACTGATGGCAGTTTGCCTGAGCAAAGACTGAGTAAATCTAAGTTGAATGTGGAGACAAGGATGGATCCAGAGGGTATAACTGGGTGCTGAATTAGGCTTGCAGATTCTGTATTATGATTGACTTACCCATAGCCAGTAAGTATATCTTTTGACTTACAGCTTTGAGGCTGTTTGTGGTGCTGATGCTCAAAAATAACTTACTTTTGTTTTTGCTTGTAAACGGAGTAAGTTTGGATAAAGTGCTGGAAAGGGACTGAGGTGACCTGGATTCTACTCCTGGCTCTGCCACTGACCTGCCATGTGATCTTGGGCAAGTCCCATCACCGCTCTGCCTCTGCTGCCCGTCCCTCTTATCCCTTGCGTGTCTTGTCTGTCACCCCTTAAAAGTGTGACCATTTCTATTGCTGCTGTTTTCTTGCCTTATTTACTATTGTGCTTAGGGTGTGATATAAACATAAAATTCCACAGAAGAGCAATATCTTTCCCCCCTCTATTTTAAAGAAAGGAAGGAAGCTGTGTTTGGTGAGGGAGCTCTAGGTACACAATGTTTTCCCTAGCAACCTGCCCATATCTTACCCCCTTACAGCATTTGGCCATGTCCTTCTCACCTCTAAACACGCTTGCCCTTCTCCTCACCCCTGCAGGCGGACTCAGGAGCGCATGTCTGTTCAACCTCATCGGTTACACCCAGGCTTTGACTTCGGCCACCAACTGCAAACTCCTCAACCCATGGGGCCCCAGCCCAGGTATCTAGCTGAAGGCACAGACTGGTAAGTCTTTCATTTCCCCTGGTGTTTTGGATGAGGCATAAAACCAAAGCCATAAGCAACCGTGGTCATTAAAGATCATAATGGCCCCTGGGTATTATGGGAAAACGTTTATATTTTGACTCGCTATAATAAATTAATGATAATGTTCCCATGACACTTTTCACAATATGATAAAACTTTGCACTTGTGTAGCAAGTGGGGCGTTAACCCCAGAGGCCCAACCAGACCCCAGCTCGGGTAATTACATTTCCCTGTTTATATGCCACCTGCAGTTTTAGTTACATCTAGTGGGTCAGATTTTCTGCTGCATACGGTATATGCTGGGTGCAGCAGACTGTCCTGGAGCCAGTTACAGCATCTCGATTCTCTGCCTGAGCCTCTGGTCAAACTAGAGCAGACTGGAGGCTGCTCTCAATGGTCCTAGCTGTCTCTAGTTCCCTACTGCATTGTGTTCTGGGATTCCTCTCTTCGTGGTCTGCACTGGAGGGCCTCTGGAGAGGGAAGGATAGAGGCCAGCAGAGCTAAGGGGCATTGAGCTAGAGAATCTAGCCCAGAAATTCTTCACTTCTGCTCCTAAATGGTGGTTTACAGTTGCCATGTGCTGTTAAACAGCTGCCACGCTCCACTGCAGAAGTGGCTGCAATTCAGTGAGTGGGTGTCAATATGATAGCACATAATGGAATTTCTGTTGTTTTTGTTTCAGTTTCCTTTTTTTAAGAACCAAGGAAATGACACACAAAACTATGTCAGCGGCACATTATGAACGTTGCAAAGTCAGGCACCCAAAAGTTGGGAAATGCCAGAATTAAGCTTGCACGTCTTAATTTTATCCCCTTGTGCGTACGCATTACGAGACAGTCTTTAGTGACGTGATCACTTACTATTTATTCAGCAGGACTCCTGCCTCGTTCAGTGCACGGGAGGGTGATGCTCTGGGGATGAATCAGGGCTGTGTAGGGAAGGAGGCTGTAATCTGTAGAACCCCTATGACTTTGGTTACAGCAGTTGGAAGGTGTGTATCTATTGTGTGCCTGGGAGATTGCAGGCCTAAGCTCGCCCACGACTAAAGGCAACCCCCCACCCCAGCGGAAGGGGCCAGTGGTACCAGGCCACAAGTAAATGCAGGGGACAGCAAATGAAAAAAACAGGAGTGGGAGTGCAGGTCATAGGACAAAACTCCGGTGTCCAGAAGAGAACACTGAGCAGAGAGCCCCAGACAGTACCCACTGCTCCTCAAAGGCATCCAGGGAGTCAGTGGATGCGGCCCAGAGGAACTCTGCCCAGAGGTGTGATTGGATAAGGGACTGGAAATAGAAGAAAAGCTGCCGATAGCACCTGGGATTCCCAGGTGGTCTCTCATCCAAGTACTAGCCAGGCCCAGGGTTAGTTTAGCTTCTGAGATCAGACAAGATCAGGTGCGTTCTATCTGTTACAGCCTTGGAAGGTGTGTAGTGGATGAGGCAGGGACTGCAGGAAGAGAAAGAAGGATCTGTTGGTTAAGGCAGTTGAATGCTGCCCAGGAGAGCTGGATTCTGTCCTTGCCTCTGTCACCGTGTTATTGTGCAGTGGGAGGCAATTCATTTAAACCAAACTTTTCACAGGAATTGTGTGTTCCTCATTTTCTGGGTTCCTGATTTGAGAGCCTAGGGTCTGATTTGTGGAAGTGCTGAATACTCACAGCTGAAACTGAAGTCAAGGGGAGCTGTGCTTGGAACAGATACAGAGCTGTGTAATGCTAAGTCCTCTGAAACATCAGGTTCTAGATGTCTCAAATTGGGCACCCAAAACTAATAGATACTTTTGACTTTGATCTCTCTGTACCTCAGTTCCCCATCTGTAAAATGGGGATAATAGCACCCCTCATCTCCCGGGGGTGTTCTGAAAATAAAGAAATAAATTAATACTTGTGAAGTGCTCGGCTACTGTAGCAACGAGAACAACAGAAAAGCTCACCAGGAAATTAATCATTCTATTGTCAGGACACGGTTTGAATAGTGTGCAGTGAAAAAGGCATGTGTCTACATTGAACGATGAGGGAAAAACAAATTATTGGATAGCTGCTCAATAAGTGAGCACAGTCCATTCTGCGCACTGAATGTGGTGGGGCTGCTGTAGAAAAAATAGCATGAGGTCATGTAATTAAAGACTGGATCATAATGCATATGCACAAGGGGGACAAATTAAGGTTGCATAGACAACCTGAATCCTGGCATTTCCTAATTTGTGACTTTGGAACCGTTGAAGTTCAGCATACATATGGCCTGATTCTTCTGTCTCTTTTTCTCGAGCATTCCCATTATTGAAACCAATGAGAGCAGAATTTTGGCCAAGTTTCTATGCGCTGACAAGTGCTTTAGGTTCTCTCTGGACGGAATAGCGCTCTGTGTGTGTGTGTGTGTGTGGGGGGGTGTTATTATGCTCATTATAAAGCACCACTTAACCTCCTATTTTTGCCTTGGTTGTTCAATAATCTTATAAAACTGAAGGAGTGGCTGTCAGGAAATCATATAGTATATGTGTATATATACCTTTGGGTGACTCATCTCCCCTCAGGGTGCTTGTACTAGTCTATCCAGTGACAGATGTACAAACATTCCTGTAACGTATTAATACATCAGTGGAGACTGCGTTCACTTGAAGGCAAGGGAGTGTATTTTTACATGAAAAGGGGTTGGGTAGAATTGCTGAAAGTGATCAGATATCTCCAACAGCCACACCTTTATTAAAACATAAAACACTCCCTTTGGTCGCACAAATTGTCTTCTGAATATGCATTTAGTGAGTACAATCTAACCTGTTATCCTGGCTCTAATCCTTCAGTTATTATTTCCAAGTGAGATGAGTCCTACAGGCATTGCAACAAGATGTCAATCTATGATGTCCATGCATCAGAATGCTGTGCCGATGGTGGCTTGTGCTAGAATGTTGGTGGTGGTTGTTTTTGCTTCCCCCAGCTAGCTTGTCATATTTATTCATTTCAAAATGCTCAGAAAACGTCCAATATGGTCTGTTAGTTGGGATCCTCCTGCCTGTGAAGCAACATCATGTAGCGGGCCTGATTTTTTTTTTTTAAAGTTAGGTGCATAATTGTGTGATTAATTTGGTGATGCAATTATAGTGTTGCAGTTGCGTGTGTACATTGTGTAATTGTGCAGACACGTGATGTGCACTTGAGGATGCCTTGTCATATGAATAGGACACCCATCTATCTGACTTTTCCAGTCGCATGCTGTATAACCTGAGACAATTAACTTCACCTTGGTGGGCCTGTTTCTTTTGCCATGTTTTATCTATTTTGACTGTGAGATCTTTGGGCAGGGATTGTTTCTCGGTGTGTCTTTGTACAGCTCCTAGCAGAGTGGGGCCATGATCTCATTTGGGGCCTCTAGGCACTAGAGTAATTTACGTTATAATTGGTGTAGTGGGGGGAAAGGGATTTAACACTCTTGGGGTGGGCCTGTCATGAAACAGTTTGTTTGCTGTTCTCCATGTAACTCAGTCCTCTCACAACACCATGCACTAGGTGGGTCTAAGGGCTCAGGAAAGGTTAGTGAGACGATTCTTTGGGATACATGCTATGACTGGGGTCCCGGGGGGAGCCAGCTGAGGTCACTCAACTGGGTGCACTGCAAAGAATGGGGCAGACAATCCCCAAAGCTGGTGGATATTCCAATACTTAGATTTACCAAGCCAGCACTAAACAGCTTCTGTTATATCTTACTGGTTATTCAGAAGTCCAAAACGCAGTTCCTTTAAAGTAACCCAGCCTCAGACCTCCACCTAGTTACCCAAGTCAGATATGATGAAGATTAATGAAAATCTTATTTCATCATATAAAAAATTCTACCAATTCCAAAGGATCGGACACATTACCAACCAGATCTTACCCAAACACACGCTTACAGCCAATTCTTATTAACTAAACTGAAATGTATTAAAAAAGAAAGAGAGAGAGTATGGTTAAAAGATCAATATACATACAGATGAGTTCAATACTTGAGGTTCAGATTCATAGCAGCGATGGTGAGCTTTATAGTTGCAAAGAGTTCTTTTAGATTTTAGTCCATAGATTATAGTCCAATATCATATTCAGGGCGGTCCAGTTAGCACTGGGATCTCAATCTTGTGGCTTAAGCTTCCCCTGCATTGAAGCATCAAGCAGATCCGAGATAAAAAAGATTGGGACCCAAGCATCTTTTATACCAGGGGTCGGCAACCTTTCAGAAGTGGTGTGCCGAGTCATCATTTATTCACCCTAATTTAAGGTTTCGCGTGCCAGTAATACATGTTAACGTTTTTAGAAGGTCTCATTCTATAAGTCTATAATATATAACTAAACTGTTGTTGTATGTAAAGTAAATAAGGTTTTAAAAATGTTTAAGAAGCTTCATTTAAAATTAAATTAAAATGCAGAGCCCCCCGGACCGGTGGCCAGGACCCAGGCAGTGTGAGTGCCACTGAAAATCAGCTTGCGTGCCGCCTTCGGCACGCATGCCATAGGTTGCCTACCCCTGTTTTATACAATTCAGGCCTTCTTTGACAGGTTAGAGTCCCTCGGGGAACAATAGGCCCTCATTTTCTAAGCATTGTTGTTAATTATTCACACAGATTAACATAAGGCAATTGCCTGTTTTTCCACCATTCACAGGTGATTTGCTATACACTTCAAAGAGAGATGAATACAGAGATATCCCACGTTTACAGTTCATTTAAATGCTAGGATGTTCTTTTAGCTCTGAATTAACAGAATACGGCATATACAGGGACTGTTGAATACATTGTTGACCACTACCCGTATATAAGGAGGCAGTCCTTGTGGCACCTTAGAGACTAACAAATTTATTTGGGCATCCTTTCATGGATTTATACCTGATCCTGTATTTTTCACTTCATGCATGTGATGAAGTGGGTTCTAACCCATGACAGTTTATGCCCAAATCAATTTGGTAGTCTCTAAAGTGCCACAAGGACTCCTCGTTGTTTTTGCTGATACAGACTAA